CGAAGAGGGAGTTCCGCTTCTATAAGTGTAGAATTCTGTGCCTGGGCCACAAGTGGACCACTACAAGTCTCCGCGGCTCCCTCAAGAGGCCTCTTCAGGCCTGTCAAGGAAAGACGGGGTAGCGATCTGGGAACACGACTGTAACATATGCCCGGCCGGGCCCAGCCCCTTGGGCGGGTTCTGACTGCTGCCCCGGAGGTAGAGCGTGGCCTTCGTCAGGCCATGGGTAGAGGCAGGATGGGAAGGGTCTAGCTGAAGTCTGGTTTTGATTTGCTTTGTTTTGCTTTAGTAAGGGTGTTTTTCTTTGTTTTAGTAAGGGTGTTACGGCACTTGCAACACAATAAGGTCAAATAACGATGATCGAGCGCGAGATGTGCCTTTATCCACTTTTCACAGCTTCGAGAAAAACGAGTTTTAAATGTTGACAATATTGAAACTTCTATGCTATATCAAAGAGAAAAGAAACGTTAATCAATATCTCGATACCAAATTGAACTCTCTCTCTCTCTCTCTCTCTCTCTCTCTCTCTCTCTCTCTCTCTCTCTCTCCCTCCCCCCCTCTCATTGTCTCTCTCTATCTCTCTCTTTCTCCTCCAACTCCCTGTCTCGGCAGTAGTACTAATATAAATATATCCTTGATCAGAAAAGTAAAAGTATGCCCTAACAAATAGATGTGGTTTTTTTCTGGGTTTTGTGGGTGGTTGGCGGGTGCTCTTGTGTGGTTTGCTTCTTCTTTCCTATCAAACATCTATTGTCTTTATCTCCCCTCCTTCTTGTTTATGTTTGTTACTCTCTTGTAACACCTCTAATCTTCGGCACTTATATGACCTTATTGTGTTGCAAGTGCCGTAAAACTCTTACTAAAGCTAAAAATGTCTGGGTTTTCTTTTTAGATATTATCAGGGAACAGAGTCTCTAATATATCTGGGTTAGTCTTTCCTTGTTAGAGGATCATACTACCAAAAAATGAAGGAACGCTGATAAGATTTGAGTGAATTAGACGTACATGTATCAAGAAGATTTGGTATTTCATCAATTAGAGTTCTGTATTAATGCAACTTTCTTCAGAGATCCATGGATGTCGGGTCTGAAGTCTGCAAGGTGAAGGTCAAAAAGCGCAGCGATATTGATCTGAAAGACTACTTCCACTAGATATTCATATTATACCGATGGCTATACTGACGATTGTGGGAGAAAGGGCCGAGTCTCATTTTGGTGATTTGGTATATCTTTGTTTTTAATGTTTGGAATCTTATATATATGTGAGGCATCGTGGTGAAACTAGTCAAAATAATGCAATCGATGGTATCTGCATTTTTCCTCCAGTCTGACAATTTTTTTTCTAGTTCTTGTTTTTTGGCTCAACACCTTTTATGTCCATGTAAAAACTTATTTGTGTGTGGATTTTACTGAAAAACATTGATTAAAAGCACAAAACATGTGAATTTTCAGTTTTCCAAGGAAGCTTAAGAGCTTTGGAAATCACCAAATTTTGGCGGCCATTTTCTTGCTAATTTTACCCAACCTCCTTCAATTGCAAGTATCTCGACTTCTATTCAAGATAGGTGTGTATTTTTTTCCACCAAAAGATGGTCAAATGAACAAGCTTTGAGAGATACCAATAACTCCAGATGACCAAAAATTGACGAGCGCCTGATTCTGCCGCGTTGTGACACGTACGTCTTAAGTCTTCTCACTAAGTCGTAAGCCTTCACCCTGCGTCATCGTGACGAGTTTATTTGGAAGTATTATATATATATCTATCTATATATATATAATATATATATGTGTGTGCGTGTGTCAGCATTTTCTGCATAAAGAGAAAAGATTTAAGTTACAAGCTTCAATTACTCACCAAGATATTAAGAAAGGAAAGATTTGGTATGGGAGGGTACAGCTGTAGTGCAGGTAAGTATTATGAGGAGAACAAGCCGAGACAATAATGTAGTGCCTTGTTAGATTTTCAGAAATATGTCAGATTTTCTTGGATTGAGAGAAATCTTAGTTTGAACGTTTGTAATATTGTGCCTGAAAGAAAGATGTAAAATTTACTCTGATTTAGAGAAATCTTGGTTTTAACTTTTGGAATCTTTTATCATGAAGAAAGATGTAACATTTTCTCTGATTTTTGAGAAATCATTAGTTTTTAGAATTTGGAACCTCATATTCTCATACCTTAGAGAAAGATGTAAGCTTTTCTCGCTCGGATTTAGATATATCTGGTTTACATGCTGGAATCTTGTAACGCTAAGAAGGATGTGCTATTTTCTTTTGGAATGTTATATCTTAATGCAAAGCTGTAAAATTTTCTCTGATTTTGATTAATCTTTGTTGTAAAATTTGGAATCTTATATAGATATATCTTAAAGAAAGATGTAACATGTTCTTTGATTTAGAGAAATCGTTGTTTGATTGTTTGGAATCTTATATTTTAAAGAAAGTTGTAAAATTTTCTCTGATTTTGAGAAATCTTAGTTTTAATAAAGCTTGGAATTTTATACGGTATTTTATAGAACAATGTAAAGTTTTCTCTCTTAATTTTTACATGGACCCTGTTATTTTCTCCCTTTCAAATGTTCTGTTGTGTTCAACTGTAACGGTGAAGTCATGATGCCCCAGTGGGGTAAGGCTCAAAACACAGTGGAGTCCACTTAAACCAAACATGGTTGATCAGAAAACAGGGGCTAACTGACAGAAAATTGAATCTCCAATTTTTTTTCTTTTGCTTTTTGAGCAAGTTCTCTAAACTGAAAGCCCGGATGGACAGAAGATAACTGGGATAGACAGAAGAAAATCCGGCGATCCTGCAGATTTCACTTTAAGCGGACTCCACTGTGCTACAAAATGTAACTTTGCTGTTTTTTTCCCCTGGAGCCTAAAGTATATATATGTTACTGAGCTCCAAATCTCTTGTCTCCTCTTTGAGTACTGGTTGCCCTTACTAATGCATGTTTATAGTACAGACATATGGATACATATCGTCGCTGTCACAAGAAATCCACTCAAGTCTGTTCGGGCACTTTTTACACCAGAGACAACAAACTTAGTTTTTGTTTTGTTTTTCCTTTCAGGAATCATGAAAAGCAAGACAATTGTAAGCCTTGACCATAGCATTAAACTGAATTTGGGTTATGTTGAAAGCTGCTTCTTTGCTAGAGCTTTGGGAGGGTGTGAAAATAGAACATTCTAAAAATTTGGACTTTAGTGGATTGCTTTCGACAGCGACCATACATGGTTGTATTTATCCTCTTTAAAAAAATTGTAGTTGTAATGTAGTGCTACATTATTGTTTTTCCATTGGGTGACATGTGACTGCATGTTTGTTTCGCCATAGTGATATTGGCTGCTTAGCCCATGGGCAGATTTGTACGTTTTTAGAGAGAAATGCGCTTTAGGCGTTTCGAACTTTCCTGATGTACGTTGACTCTAAGTATACATCGAAGGCTATGGATCCCTCGTTTTTTAGGCAATTCCTGCATCACAAACTTCTATAAAACTCAACTCCCTTTTAATCTATCTATGTAAAATAAACGTTCGAGGGATCCGTAGTTCCAGGGATATCTTACAAAGATAAAGAAGAAGAAAAAACCCCCCGGGACAACAGACACAGTTCGACGGATGTGTGTTTTCGAGTCTTCTATCTTAGACCTATCTGTGTTAGACCTATCCTGCGTGAGGATCCAGTAAGGAATATGTAGAAAAGAGAAGCGGGTATTTATGGTAAATGAGGAAAACAAAAGAAAATGAAGGACACAGCGTCTAGTACTCAGTAGACGGGGCCCCACTCCTATGGGTTGATGTATTCATGTTTCGATGTTTCATCATGTTATTGTCAGTGTCATGTCCCTTCTGAAGAAAGAGGAAAGAGAGAGGGGGGGGGGGGGTAAACTTTATGTAAGTGGCTGGGGGACATGTCTGGATTTTTTGTACACATGTAATATATTTCAAGGTGTGCTGACAAAATGAGTTACTTTCTCAGATTTTTGTTAGCCCTTTGCACATAAATAGATACATTGATTAAGTCTGTAGGCAGAGTTTGTACACTTTGTGAAGATCAAATAATAATAATAGTAATAATAATAATAATAATAATAATAATAATAGTAGTAGTAATAATAATAATAATAATAATAATAATAATGATATTAATAATAATAATAATAATAATAATAAATAATAATAATAATAATAATGATATTAATTAAAAAAACCAACAACTTACAAAGTAATAATAATAACAATAATCATTATTACTATCACTATCATTATTAAATAATAAAAGGCATGTAAAGCTTGAAGAAAATGGCATCAGTTCAAAATGTACAAAATTTGACCAATATATCGATTTTCGGCCGAAATCTCCATTTTCTTATTGCGAGGGGTAGGTCATATTGTCAGCATACCTCGTTGCATTCACCGGGCTCAATGTTTTCTTTCACGATTGCGATTTCTTCATGTCTTCCTGTATGCCTTGTTCTAGGGGATTTATGTACATCAAAGATTTTATAGATGTTTGTTTCTTTAGACAAGACATTTTTTTGCTTTCAATAAATTTCACATGCACTCGATGAATTTGGTGTCTGCTCTGTTTCTACCGTGCAGGTCTCAATATGTGGGTGGTTGGTGGGTGCACTTTTGTGGTCTGCTCCTTGTTTTACTATCAAACATCTATCCTCCTTGTCTTATCCGAAGTTATCCTCTTCTTTTCTATGTATGATACTCTCTATTGACATTCATATGACCTTGTGACCTATTTATGTTGCAAGTGCCGTAAAACTTTTACAATAATTAAAAAGACCTCGACGTTACAAGGAGAAAAGACCCAGAGGGAGGAAAAATGTCATTCAAATGTCTCCTTTGTATATATATATATAAAAATGCATTAGTAAAAATGTGCCCATAATACCAGCTGAGGTGTAGCCTACGACTAACACTGTTCTTATAATACCAGCTGAGGTGTAGCCTACGAGTAACACTGTTCTTATAATACCAGCTGAGGTGTAGCCTACGAGTAACACTGTTCTTATAATACCAGCTGAGGTGTAGCCTACGAGTAACACTGTTCTTATAATACCAGCTGAGGTGTAGCCTACGAGTAACACTGTTCTTATAATACCAGCTGAGGTGTAGCCTACGAGTAACACTGTTCTTATAATACCAGCTGAGGTGTAGCCTACGAGTAACACTGTTCTTATAATACCAGCTGAGGTGTAGCCTACGAGTAACACTGTTCTTAAAATACCAGCTGAGGTGTAGCCTACGAGTAACACTGTTCTTATAATACCAGCTGAGGTGTAGCCTACGAGTAACACTGTTCTTATAATACCAGCTGAGGTGTAGCCTACGAGTAACACTGTTCTTATAATACCAGCTGAGGTGTAGCCTACGAGTAACACTGTTCTTATAATACCAGCTGAGGTGTAGCCTACGAGTAACACTGTTCTTATAATACCAGCTGAGGTGTAGCCTACGAGTAACACTGTTCTTATAATACCAGCTGAGGTGTAGCCTACGAGTAACACTGTTCTTATAATACCAGCTGAGGTGTAGCCTACGAGTAACACTGTTCTTAAAATACCCCCAAAAAGTGTTGTCAAATAGTACCAAACATGTCCTCATAATACCAAAAAAAGTTTTGTCAGATCCTAAAAAAAAAAAATGACCTCATCATAATACCAAAAAATAAGTGAAGTCAATTAGTAAAAAAAAGTCCTTATAATACCCCAAAAAGTGTCAGAGTCAAAGTCAAATAGTTTAAAAATTGTCCTCACAATACCAAAAAAAGTGTAGTCAAATAGTTTTTAAAATGTCCTCATAATACAAAAAAAGTTTTGTCAAATAGCTTAAAAAAAATTCCTCATATTAACAAAAAAGTGTTGTCAAATAGCTAGTAAGAAAATGTCCTCATAATACCAAAAAGTGTAGTGAAATAGTTTTGAAAGTGTGCTCATAATACCCAAAAAAGTGTAGTCAAATAGTAAAAAACAAATGTCCTTATATACGTGTAATACCCAAAAAAGCTTTGTCAGACAGTAAAAAAAATATCCTCATACTCATAATACCAACAAAAGTTTTGTCAGACATTTAAAAAAATGTCCTCATAATACTAAAAAAAAGTGTAGTCAGAAAGTAAAAAACATGTCCTCAAAATACCAAAACAATTTTGTCAGATAGTAAAAAAAAATGTCCTCACAATACCAGAAAAATGTAGTCAAGTAGTAAAAAAAATGTCCTCGTAATACCAGAAAAATGTAGTCAAGTAGTAAAAAAAATGTCCTCATAACACCCCCCAAAAAGTAGTCAAATAG